GTAGATGTCGACCCGAGGTTTACTTGGGGGGTCGTAAATGTTGTCCTCCTCATCCTCCTCCTCCTCCGGGACGGCGTCAGCCGCATGTTTCGTCCTATTGGGGTCCTTATAAGACCACTGCGAGCGCACGCTATTGGAGCGATAGGTCGTGGGCGTGGCGGGTATAATGTTCACCGCAGGGACTCCGCTGCCTGATGGGACGGTGGGTGACTCATTGTTGAGGGCATCGTACCAGCGGTTGCTGCTGTGAGTTTGCTGGTCGTACTCATGCTGTCCCTGAGCTTGTTGTGAGCTCGGCTTGGGTGACGGGAAGAAGAGCTCCTGCTCCGCGATGGAGCTTGGTGTATGGCGCTGCTGGGTAGTGTCCATCTTGGCGATGCAAGCTTTACTGCAGGTTTTCCAAGACACTATGTTTTCTGTTTGGTTTTTAGTCCTCGATGAAGAGAGAAAAGTGAGGAAACCAGGCGGGCTATACGGACACAAGCCAATTCACTCAAGTCAGCGCAAACCTTAAATTTGGAGCTCGTTTGGTTCTTCAGCATTCTGAGGCGACAAAAACCGCCTTGGAACGCGCAACCCCGGTGCGGCGTTGAGAGCAAAGATGACGTGGTGTCACTGAAGGAGGGTGTGGCGCAGCCCGAATTGGTTTGTGGCTCTGGCTCTGGCGCCCCAACGGTCAGCGGCGCAGCTCATTGAGTCCTTGTACGGGATCTCCGTGATGGACAGGGGTGGTTTTTGGCGATCCTGGCATTGGGCAAACTGTGGCTAGAGCTCGGTTTCAAGTCCGAGGGGTTTCGGTGCGGCGGTGAGTGTCTGTTGGGCGACCGGCGAATGCATAGCGAAGACATCCTGGGGATAGCAGCAAAACTTGGATCTCTGGGCGGTCACTTCTCTCTACTATGAGGCGGCGCGCTGTTCTTCTCGCCCCGAACATGCCGTTTGCGAAAGCTACGGTACCCCTGATTAAGCTGCTGGATCGTGCGGGTGTTGTGTTGCACAGGAAAGATTCTATTGCTTTCTTGTGGATGGCTGATTTGGGGGCTGGATGTGACCTGCCTACCTTACCATGAAGCACCTATACGCGCACTCATCCAACACCGTTTAGTGATCGCGATCAGGAATGAGTATATATATATAGCGATCACTGCTGCTCATCCAAAGGGGCCAAGGTCTTGGACAGTTTCGCGTACGTCGCGATACCACGGCTGGGCGCATCGGGAAAAGTCGGAGGAAGCCAAACAGATGTCACCATGGGTATGCGACATGGAGAACGGGTCGGATTCTAGGCGAGAGTGTTAAGCATTGCATCCCCGCGGGGGAGCCAAGCATTTGAGAGGGACCCAAAAGAAGGGTTGAAGTCGTTAGCTTGGGGATCGTGATTTGACGTTCGCAAAATAGCCGTCTATTTCGAGAGAGCCAAAGCATTTTCGAAAAAAGAATCATTGTAGAGCGAAGAGTTGGCGTTGCAGTATTCACTCAACACGACACACGGCGGCTCCTGTCACTAGAGTGGTGATTCGCAGCTCGGGGTTGACGATGGAAAGGCCAGAAGTGAGGCCAGATGAGACCCGGCGTCCACGATCAATCGCTTCAACTACACGATTCAACAGGCCAAATTTAGCAGTTGCTCTCAACATTTCACTGTGTTCATCGTAGCGGCTCGTGTCAGTCTCTCTCTTCTCCACATACCAAAGTCCCGAGCGCACCTCAGCATTTTCAGCCAAAGTCGGCGGCGCAGCATGCCAGAAAAGAATTGTTCGCTTCCTGCCAGGCTGCCGCAAGCCGAGGCGCACCGCAGCGCAGTCAGTCACTGCCATTTTTACTTTCTGTGCCCTTTCAGCTGGTCTACGGCATAGACGTGGTGCCGCATTAGCCGTGCGCTCGGTCAACTGAAGTTTTGCATACGTCGAGAAGAGGAGAGAGAAGAGACGAATCCGTGGCAAACGAGCGTGCGTCTGTCTCCGTCGTCAGCTGTCAGCGAAGGAAAGCAGCATCGTGCAAAAGTGTGTGGTTGGCAGAATGTCCGCGGAAGAATGGTTGATCGGTGGCAGCAAAGGTCCCTTCCCGGGCGGTGGGTGTTTGGGAGTGGGATAAATTTAGCTGAGTCAGCCCCGATTTCGACCGGCCACTTGTGAGACCCACCTCGGCACTCCGAGCTCTCCACCGACGGGCACAGGCACAGGCACCTTCTACCGCGAATAGCTTCAACTGGCCCTGTCCACCTGCCTCTCTTGCAACCCGTCAGTGCTCTTGTCTCAAGACTACGTAGCCCTGGTTGCTGGGTTACTTCGGACCAGACTTGGCTTTTATGAAGTGTGGGCCCTCGGCTCAACAATCACAATATTTCGCTGCTCCATGAGATTGCTCTCTGTCTGTCAAGTGTTTCTCCTCATCTTCTTCGTGCAAGTCCAAGAAATAGTCACACGGCCTCTGCAGGCTTGGCGTCGCTCGTGTTGCGGCTCTTCGCTTGCAGGCGACCTTCCTAACAGACGAAAGTGTGAAGCCTGTCCGCCTCTCAAAATAGCTGACTTTCGTCTGAGATAGCCCCCACTCCGCATGGATGCGTTTCCAGTGTCCCACTTCCTCTCTCTGAGGCATGTTTCAAAATGATATCCCGCGCCGCTATTCGTCGATCTCCCGCCCTGGTAAACCCGCCCAGGAATCTCGCTGCCCAGCTTGCCCTTTCCATCCCACGCCCTGATTCGTCCGCCGTGTTTTGGGACAGCCAGCGCCAACGCAAGAGCCTCTCTCTGATGTTTGTCCGTATCAAACTGCAGCTTGACGAATCCCAAAGCTGATGATGAATTGGGGGTCCATGTCTTTCTCTCTCTGTGAATCCACAGTCCACCTCTCCCGTACGGGTCTGTCGTATTCCCACTTCTCTTCCCCCTCTCACCCCTCGGGACCGTAGCACCCCGAGCCAAGCCAAGCCCAGACAGCCTGTCAAACCCCCCCGACGAAAAAGATGACGGGAGCCCAGGCCCGGAGTCCCACGTCCAGATCTGGGTTACAGCAGGAGACTTGCATCAAACAAGCAACGCACCCCATCGCAGTATTCGTACCCACCGGCGCTTATTTTGGTAGTCGTGCTGCAGGATATCCCGTCTGAGCTTGGCAAGTGTCAAGGGCATGGCTTTCCACCCCGGACCCTCAGACCCGCGCGTCCGGTTGTCATTATAAGTATATCTGACGGCTGCCTTCCCGTGCTATCGATCATGACGACCCTCTAACTCTGTTTCCTTTTGTCTTTATATCTCCGAGTGTGTGTGGTGCGTGTCTCCGCAACTCTCTTTTCTCTTCAACCCGCCGGGCTGGTTCCCGTCCTTGCCCGACAGCCGCTATGCAGTTGAAGGGATTTTTCCCTCTGGCCTTCGCTGCACTGGCGGCGGCGGCTGAGCCGCTGGCCGCAGTGCTAAAGACTCACAATGGAACTTTGAGTACGATGAACTGTGAGTAGTAGTTATCCCGCATCGTAGGGGGGAATGGGCCTCACTTACACGAAACGAAATCCAGCCCTGCTCGCCATGGTCCCCGCAGTCAGCGAGTCCCTCTCCACCTCCAAAGACTTCACCATCCTCGCGCCCTCGAACGACGCCTTCGCCAAGGCCATGCAGGCCGACCCGACGCTCGCCCAGAAGATGACCAACGTGACCTGGGTCACCGACCTGCTCATGTACCACGTCGTCGCCGGCAAGACCACCTCCGCCGCCTTCTCCTCGAAGCCCAAGTTCGCCAACACCATGTTCGAGACGCCCTTCGCCAACGTCACAGGCACCCAGAAGGTCGAGCTCAACAAGATGGCCGGCAAGGCCGTCGTCTACAGCGGCTTCAAGCAGATGAGCATCGTCGAGACGCCCGACATCACCTTCAACGGCGGCGTGCTGCACGTCATGGACTCGGTGCTGACGTTCCCCGGCACGCCGGCCGAGACGGCGATGAACACGGGCCTGACGAGCATGGCGGGCGCGTTGATGAAGGCGGGCTTGGTGGACGGGGTGGACAGCCTGCAGGCCGCGACTGTTTTTGCGCCGACGAATGCCGCGTTCCAGGCTATCGGGGCGACTGTCACGTCGATGCAGCCGGCGGATCTGGCCAAGGTGCTGCAGTACCACGTCGTTCAGAACCAGGTCCGCTTCAGTACCGGAATTACGACCAAGATGGGATTCAAGAGCTTGATGGGGGAGAAGGTTACGCTGAGGAAGGAGGAAGGTGTGGTGTATGCCAACTCGGCCAAGGTGTCGGTTGCCAACATCATCACCAGTGATGGCGTTATGCACGTCATTGACAAGTAAGGATTATTTCTCCACCCTCGATCTCTCCAGATCTTTGACTAACGTTATGACAGCGTCCTCAACCCCGCCTCGCCGAAGCTTACCCCCTCCAAGTCCGCCGCGACCTCCCCCCTCGCCTTCAACGGAGCCATCGCTGCCGCCAACGCCCCGTTCGCCGACACGGTAAAGCCGACCGCCAACTTCGTCCTCGCTGTTGAATCGAGCGCGATCAATGTCAAGGTCAATTTTGGTCATGCCGTGCTTGGGTTTCTCGGATGCTTGGCGGTGGTCATGTTTTAAGAGCGTGAACGGAGCAGCTCTTTTGTCACGTACATTCTCATTCCATTCTTTGGGAGCTTCAAGCGAGCATCTTACAATACCAGAGACCTATTACTCAGATACTACTTTTTTTAATTGGAACGGACTCTCAGAAACTTTGCCGTAAGGTACTAAATACCCAGTTCGCCAGCATGATCAGAAACGTGATCACATACAGTGCGTTCTTTTGTGTGTTGCCCGATCCTGTTGTCAAGACGCCGTGTACCCCTCCCCGTCTTCAGCCCGAAAAGGGCAAAAAACGCCCGAGAACTAAGGCATTTTACTTTACATGCAGTGAATAAAGTGTGGATTTAAGGTGGTTACAAGGGCGCTACAAGGCTATCTTTAAGATAAATGTAAGGGGCGGACGTTATCCACGTAACGGAATGTAACCTACGGCTACTGTTCGTTCTACAGGGCGGCCGAGGAGCCTCTGAATACGCACCTTTGCGGGGGTTTGCTCTGCCAATTTTCCACATAATCAACCGAAGCATAGATGAACCGTCCCAATCCGTCGACAGGAATAGAAGCTTCCCGTTGTCTAGGGATCGCGAAGTTTCTGAGGGTTCGTCGCATCTCTCCTGCACCCATATCTCCGGCTGCGATCCTCATGTTAATGACATCCAGCTTCAACTGGTGCTCTCTGTACCCGAGAATGGTGCATTGCAAATCCAACGTGGATAGCATAGGGTGGCTGTTGTCGGGGCAGGGGAGCCTATTAAATAGGAACATGAATTCTCCGGTCTGGGACTGTCTGGCGATGCCATCATCATCGTCCTCAACCAGCGTAGGAATCTGTACTTCGACGAGTATTGACCCACAATTCGGCTCGCCAAATGACGCTATGAATGCGCTCTTCGCGGCATCCCAGCGATCCGACGGCCACGCTCTGATAACTGTGCATTCCAGGGGAAACGCGAAGTAGAGCCAGTGCGGATTAATGTTATTATTCATTCCTTGGAGGACCATGCTGAACTGTGCGTCTATTAGGATGTACGAATCTGGGCAGCGAATTCGCCGTTCCAGGTTCGTCTCTCCATCATTCGGTATTACCACGAGCGTTTCGATGTTCTTCCTCACGAACGTGCTTGAACTTATCTTTCCTAGTTCGACACCGAGCCTGGAACCATCGCAGCCGTAAAAGCAGACCGGAAGCACGTAGCTCAACTCGCCGGTGTGGGGCATCCGTGCGAGACACAGATCGAGCGTCAACTTCAACCCAGCGTTAGTGACGGTGACCTCGTTCGGCTGACGCCACATGTCTCGTCCGGGTATTGGATGGAATTCTCCCGGTGCCTGTGCGAACACACCGCCATTAAGACCTTCAGCAAGCCTTGGTTCCGAACCCGGGTAAGTCCTGGTCCAGGCAAAAATTGTCACATCATGACTGGTTCGTATGATTTCCTCCTGTAATCGACGGAACGCCTTCCTCCCCTCGCCGTATAGCATAGGCATGTTGATGTCAAAGATGCCCAGAAGACAGTAGGCCATATCCTCTTCCCTCGAAGTTTCGCGGCCTGCAGCCCATGACATACGCTCCGCGATGGAGTAGGTCGACAGCTGGTAATGGACCATGGCGTCGTAAGGGATGCCTGTGATGTTTGAAAGTATGTATCTCCAGTCTGCCTTGTTGCCAACGAGCCCCCAGTCGTGTTGGTAGAAGAGCACGACAGCCGGCGCGACGAGTTCCTGCAAGGTCCAGCCCCTGTAGAACCATCGGCATCCGCGCAAGAAGGGCTCCAGGTGGACACAGGCATTCGTTTCGATGGAACCTTCCAATTTAACAGAGTCATCTGGTTCTATAGAGCTTTCCGAGTCTACAGAGCTTTCCGATTTTATAGAGAGCTCCCGATCCATAGAGCTTTCGAGTGCTGCTGATGTATGGAGACATAAGTCAGAAAGGTAGGTGTAACAGACTTTGGCTCCCTTGTACCACCTGTACATGGAGTTGATAGCCTCCGAAAGCTCTGCGCTGTTGGACTTGTCGATACAGCAGGTGTCGACCCAGGCATATTTTATACCGTCGCAGGCTGCCAGTTGACATGTCATACGTATCTTGTGGAAGCCCTTCATTCCGTCACGCGTAGGGCTATTCCAATCCTGTAAAGTGACTTCCTCATCTTCCCATGTGTGTGAGAGGATTACGTAGGGAGGTACGTCTCGGCCGAGGTGGGTTTCCATGGCGAGCGTGGTTGTTTCTATTAGCCGCATGATGAATGGTAGTAAACCGAGGATATTCCGATTCGTGTGGTTGCTGGTCTTCCTAGGGTCTCCCAGCTCTTGATGTTATGTGCTCCTTAGGGTTGTCTCACAGCGTCATCTGAGTTTGACACACTGATGATTGGAATATGCGAGTTCTGCCGGTGTACGTGAAGACACAAACGAATTGAAGAGAAGCCGGCGCTGCCCACTTCTGGCACCTGCTGACTTGACTGTGGTACAGACTGGTGGCGGGAGAACGGGAAGGAAGGTCGGTGAAGGTCCGGATGGAGGTGGTGATAGGCAGACCGCGACCGTCAAGTTGTTGGCTTCGAGCGCACTCTGTGAAAAAGTCAGATGGATCAAACCACTTGACTCCGCGCGTTTTAGACACGATATTGGCGGCGGGAGTTTCGCAAGAATCGGCAGTCGTTAAGTAGCGCTGAGGAGAGTGCGTAGACATCGGGATGCTGAAGTGGAAAAACAAACGCATAGACACGTATCCAAGCCAAATGATCTCTGCCCGAAAAGGCACTGATCAAGACGGTGGATGCTTTCATTCATTGGCTCAGCTGGGGGCACGGAGGCGGAGTCGTATGAGATACAGTGGCTAATGCGGCGCAGCCCTGGGCTGGGGGAAAGGCGTTCGCAGATTTCATTCTGACCATCAGCAGGTCAGTTTTTAGTCGCTGTGCTCGCGAATCTACGCCCGCTGTTTCGAAATAAAACAAGGAAAGGAAAAACCGAGGTAAATCAAAACAACTTAGCCACGAAGCTCAAACACCCGCAACTACCTACAATTGTTTACTTCAAGTCACAGTCCAGTAAATGCTTTGTACATCTTAAATGCATACTCTTCGCCTCGATCTCCGAGACCAATAGAGGGCTGTTTGTTCCAAGAGCTTCCCAACTAATTTCTGTAAATCTCGCGTTCTGATTCTCTTTCTTATGTTCAACCTTTGCCTTCAATAGTAGAGAGTCCTACTTATACCAAACCTGGGAGCTGTCACTTGAAGAAATTATGTCTCTTTGCCAGAACAACTCCGGTAGGCGTGAAAACCCTTGTTTGCCATCTCGTCTGGTGCTTCTGTCCGACACATTCAAGCTCTTCAAACCATTTGGGACTTCAGCCGGCTAGAATCCTGTCGGCGCTCTCATCAGATAGCGCGAGATGTCAGTTTAGAGTTTGAGGTATTGGCTTGGACGGAGAATGTCCGCTTCGAAAACCGAATCGCCGTACACTTCAGGACCTGCTTTGGGCGTTCAGTTCATCTCTCAATTAAGGGCTTGATACAGAGATGTTTTCGAGCCTCATTTTGGAGCTTGGTTGGAAGGCCGATATGGATCTCATTCAGTATCACGTTAAGCAAAACGAGTTGTTGATGCTAGCGGGGTGGAGCCGTGATTAAGGTGCGGAAAAGTGAGTGGCTGAGAAGCTTGCCGCAGCCAAAAGACCGAGCTTAAGAAGCCATCTAAAGATCATGCGGTCTCATTCTTTTCTGCTCTCGTCTTTCTTATTTTTTTCTTCTTACTTGCTTGCTTACTCCACTGTGTATCTTCCCCTTGTTCTAGCGGATACAGATTACTATGTTAGTAACAACAGTGGTAATGGATATAATTGAGACGACAGATTCAATAAATCAGAAGCCGCCTAATTTTTCCGTGCTGGGACGAATGGTTTTCCTGCAGTTGAACACTTTACTCTGGTTTACTATCGTTATCTGTATCACTGTTACTGTTGTTGCTATTATTATTATCGTCCTCCTTGCCCTCGTCGTCCTCGTCCTCGTCGTCCTCGTCGTCCTCGTCGTCCTCGTCGTCCTCGTCGTCCTCGTCGTCCTCGCCGTCCTGATAGTTCTCATCATCCTCATCATCCTCGCCGTCCTCGCCATTGTCGTTATTACTGTTTTCTATGGTATAAGTAGTTAAGTAGACAGAAAATACAGCTATACAGATATCCAAGGATAACTAGGCGATCTCATAAAGTAGCCATTATACCCCTTTTAGAAGAAGATAGAGAGGGAGCCACGAGCAATAAATAAGCAGCTTGATTGTATTTAGAGAATGGTGAGCATATTAAACAGAATGGGGAGAATATTTCTATTTTCGACCTCGAACTATAATTGGCTGCTGTGAGCCTCTACTCTGTGCCACCTATTGAGTATGAAATATTGAATCAATAACATCTCTGCTACCTTTGCTGCGTTAACGCAGCTTAGGCTTAAAAGTACCCATGCCACGGGTGCCCTTTGGTACCCACGACCTTGGGTTCTTTCTGGGTATCCATGAGAAGAAGGCCGTCCATGAATACCCACGGAATCCATGGGTCCTGGGTAATGGTTACCCAAATGGGCAAGTACCCATGGGTATTTTAAGCCTACCCGGTTTCCCGCCTCAAAACTACAGACAATCCGGACAGAGAGCGTTGACGTACTCCAGGTGCTCGTCAGCGTACTCGACGTTGCTCTTGGCCGGCGAGCAGGCGCGCTTGAACAGATCTCTGGCAGAGCGTCTGGTGCATGTCGCGAACTCGGACCACGGCGCCTCGCTCCACGCGGCGTGGTTGGGCGGGAACGCAGCCAGCTTGGGCTGAGAACCGCCAGTACCCATGTTTCCGTAGATATCGGAGCGGTAGAAGGGGTTGAGCTGCTCCTTGCCCTCAACTCCGTTCTTGACCTGCGTCCAACCGATGATCTGGTTGTCCTTGATGCCGCCGAGGGCGGCGAACTCCTTCTCCTGGGGGTACGGGTTGTACTTGCCGAGCGTGGCCTGGCAGTCGATCATGTTGGGAGCTGAGTGGATGCGGTAGATGTAGCCGTTGTTGCCGAGGAACTGGCGGACCCAAGTGCGAGCGAGGTTCCTGTCAGAGGTGGTCGAGACGTAACCGTCCTCGTCTTTGCTGAAGCCGTTGTCGGCGCCGTTGACGTGGTTCCAGAGACTGGTGTCAGGTGACACGACGCCAATGTTGGATTGTCCCTTGGCTAGGAAGCCTTTGGAGGCCTGGATGGTCGAATAGGCTCTGGAGTCTGCCCTGTAGAGGTCGACGGCGGAGCCGAGGATCGACCAGAGGGAGAAGAGGAACAACCCGAACACAAAAGAGTATTGCCGAGCCATTTCAGATGGATAGGAAAAGAGAACGACAGCGATGAACAACGACAGATATGAGGATGATGAAGACGATAATGAGATAACTGCCACAGGGCCAAAAGAGAGTGCTCTTAACGAGTGCAGGATTGTGATGACAAGACTGTTCGACAACAAGACATGAATTGACGGGATAATCGCCTAGGTTTTATCGTTTTACGAATTCCCCATGCCACGCTGCTCTCTCACTCGAATTTAGGGTAGTCATCTGCTTCTCTCCCCAACAACACGCTTCTCTCACCGGAACTTTGGGCTGCCAAAACCCCGTGTCCGAGATGCCAGCTCAGGAGGTCTCACGTATCCATAACACCAAGTAAGTCAAGAGACATCCTCATCAAGTGCCAAACCGCCGTCGGTTTCGTCGGAACTCGAAATCAAAGTTGATGTTAGTTAAATTGTTCATGATTCGTCCATTTGCCTAGGCCAAATACAGACGGCGATGAAGTTCAAACTGCTCCGTGACCGTGAGACTGTGGGTATTGAACACTAGAGGCCCACAAGAAGTTCAGACCTCACGCGCAAATTTCTTACACAAACGACGTATCAATCCTCAATAACGCAAGTCATAGATACCTGACAAGGATTCTGTGTGTTGTCCGGCTGAGAGCTCAACCGCCAAGTGGACGATTGTCTGATGAAGCTCTTGCGCAGTCTTGGCTGGGGCGGACAAAATGACGTTGAAAGTATCCTATCCGGCAAGCCGGTGCCGGAGCGGATGTACGACGAACGACAACGCGAGAACGATCCACTTCGGTATCGCATGCCTCTCCGCGGACACGCGAGGTCTCCGGTCGTGTGGACGCAGCTACGAGATGGAGTTCAACTAGTGCATTGCCGCTTTAGGAAGTTCTCGTGATCTCGCGGTCGGTGAGGCAGATAATCACTTATGTTTTAGTGATTATGCCTTAGTCAAGACCCTTATGCCATAACCCACTAGGTATCCAGTGTATTAACCACAAAGATATAGAAACATCTGACAATCGCTACTCGGGATGGGATGTGGTCCATAATATATTCTAATTGAGTTTCAGCTAGGAAGATGGCAGTACACTCCGTTGCGTTGACAGCGTCCGCCCCCCCTTTTTGCCGAAATTACGCACGCATAATCCCTGTATATACATGAAAATTTGCCCAACGCCACGTAGATATTCGTAGTACGGCAATTGACCTATTCTGATGGCTTCAATTGATCTATTTCTATTGAATCTCATTATCTGAGGGCATCGTGATGCCTCCTAAACGCCGCCGCGCGGCTCGGCAGGCGGATGATGACCCTTCTGGGCATCGTCCGTCACCCATCGCCAACGGTACGCGGAAACAACGACGTATACAACAACTGGCACAGGACGCCGCCAGAGATCCTCCTCAACGCTCTGCCTCGCCGTCGATCAGGATCGTTACGCCCGCCGAGAGGGCTCGCCGGGCTGCCGCCGCCGAAGAGGCCGCCGAGGAGGCCGCCGAGGAGGTTATCGTCGCCGAGGCTGGACCCGAGACTAATGATTTGGTGGCGGCTGAGTCTACATCGCGAAGAAAGCGTGTACTTATAGCCCCTCCGTCATCACGAAGAGCTCCAAAAGCGTCCTCTCGCCAAAAAGCAACGACAACGCAGAGGAAGCGAAAGAAGGATCCGCCGCATACGATCCGGCTCCGAAGTACTCTGCCTTCGTCGATGCCACCGTTTCGACCAGACTCGACCCCAGTTAACCCAACCCCTCGTCAAACCACTCGATTTGCGGACGATACGCCTACGGCCCCTCGCCATAGCGCTGATGATACGTTTATGTCGTTCCACGATGTATTTGAAGAGGAGGACGATATGGGTAACGAGGAACCAACTCTGCTACAAATCCAGGTTACCCGTGGCCCAGCGCTCAAGGGTAACGGTTTACCTGTTCTCGATCTAACCATCGAGAGCATCGCGTATAACAGATTCAGTATTGCTCCTGTATTAGATGCGAATAGTAGAGACTGGGAGGCAGACAGCGGCGCCCAACTTGAGGCAGAAGTGGCTCACTCGTATATTGTGAAGAAGGCCAATATCGCTGTTGTCGTTGCTTGGAGGAAGCCCACCAACGCATCTAAACCAACACCAATCTTCACTCGGGTCTATCCGTCTACTGGAGGGGTCACTTGGCCAAGTATTCCATGGGTTGATATTGTCCCCTCTCTTGAACAAGCTGAAGAGAGGGGTGAAGTCCACCTCACCGTCAAGTGGCAATACAGCGCCGTACCAATCTCTGGTGGTATAGTGACTGGCGTACGAACGCCTCGAAAAGGTGGCCGAGCAGGCGTTTCAGCCGGCATGCAAGAGGCGATCGATCGTGAGGCTAACGATCCTGCAAACGTCGAGCGTCGGAAGGAGGGTATGCACAGACAACTTCTCCGTACGCACATCTGCCCAGAGTACCAGAGATGTAAGAATAGTTCGGGCGACGAGAAGTTCAACTGGTGCTATATACTAGGCCAGAAGCACTACAAGATCAAATCTCACCATATAGAGAAGTGGGCGAAGGCTATTATGACTGGACAGGCTGGCGTTGACAATATGGAACCACCTAAAGAACTGCTTGGTGAGATTCTTCACGACCAGTTTATAGAGGATCAGAAACGCCAGGGCAAGAGAAGTAAGAATATCGTGGAGGTTGATGATAACCAGGAGACGACAGTGATGACGGAAGAGAAGGCTGAAAATGCCGCACTTCCATCATCAGGGTCAAGATCTGGCCTAACCAACGCCAACAGCAACGCCATCGTCAATATATACGGCAACGCGGGGGCGCCAGATCGTCATCTTCAATATCCTAACCCATACGTACAGCTGCCGCCGCCGGCGCCGCCGCCGCCGGCATATTGGCCATATGCGAACATCTCACAGTATTCGTTGCCAACTCTTCCGCCATTGAACCTTCCAAGCACTCGTCAACCAAGTATCGCACTCCCGATTCGTTCGTCCTCGCCAGTGGTACCGGATTCGCCTCGAAAAGCTCTAGATCAAGTGGCCAGCTTCATCAAGTGGTTTATATCCGTCCGCGGCAAGCGATATAACGTCGACGAAGGGTTCAGAAAGAAGCTACAGAAACTGCGATCAGTAGACAGTAGCTTGCGGGCAATTCGCAAGTTACCAGATATTTGGTTTACTGAACAGGGTTTTACTCAAGATCTTACCGAAGATGTCAGGAACTCGATCAAATCCTTCATAGACAACAGCGCCTACTACGGAGGGCAGTCTGACGCCCTCTCCGACGTGGTATCTCACTCTGAACTTCATTCAAACCATCGAGAGTCAGAAGGAGATGTTTATACAAGAATATACGCTGGATTGCCAGGAGGGACGGCGGCGGCGCCAGTTGAAAACTCTGCGGCGCTAGTTTCAGGCGAGTTGGGGTCATCCCGACATATCGACGCCCTAGTGCCACGTCAATCCATCGAGCAAGAGATCCGTGGTACGCCAGTTGAAGTTGGTCGACGTGGTGAGTGTATATAGAGCTGTTTACTGTCGAATATGGCTAACTTTGTAGGCGTTTCGGAACTCTTTGGTTTCGTTTCGTCACCACTGCTGTCAGCGTCGCAGATGCTGCCCACGCAGTTACAGATCGAACAAGACGAAATCGAGCAAGGCGATGAGGACAATCAGATTGAAATCTCGAGTGATACGTCGTCAACAGAGACGTATTACTCGGAGGAGGATAACGAAGAAGAGTGATACAGCAAGAGTGGTGTGAAGTTTGACTGTATGCGCGATTTTTTTGCATGACGTGTTCAACCACGGAAAAGTCTACCCATAGCCGTAGATTCAACACTGCCGCTCTATACGTATAAAAGCAATAGAATTACTGTTATTTTGGATCTGCAAACAATACACTTCGGTCCATCCCGATACTGGTTAGGGGCAGTTGAAGTCTCTGACTATGGTTGAAGTCTCTGATCGTGATGACGTGTCATCATCACAAATCATCGTCACAAGCATCAACAACGCGTTTCAGCCGTTATACAGGCAAAATTGATATGTATACGTAGCTACCGACGAAAACAATGGACGACGGTATATTTTTTGTGTTCTGGTGCGCTTGTGGCTAACCTTTTGGCAATCTTGTTGGCTACAATCATGGATTTGATGATTGACCATCATATGACGACACGATTAAGATCTATTGCGCGCGAACGCACGATGAAAATTTGGATTGCTTGCTGATGTTCAATATTGGCAGCAAATCCTCCCTTTTATAGTTCGATATCGTCAAATATATGCTCTGTCCCATCAAAGTTGACGAACGAATGGCGGAAATGGCCCTCGATCTGGGGTAGACGATACCCAATCTCCATAGCGCAGTCACGTAGATATTCCATGAAATCCCGAGTGTCATTCTCATCGTTGTTCCACTTCGAATACGTCTTCCTGATGTATCGCTTTAGATCGCCGAAGTACTCTTCGATGGGGTTGAAGTCTGGTGAATACGGAGGCAGAAACTCGAGATGGACACCTGATACCCGGCATAAACCCTCGATTTCAGGTATACGATGGCAGGAGAGGTTATCCATAACGATGACAGAGTTTGGCTCTGGAAAACGCCCACATTTCGGGATAAGGCACTCCTGTAGCCAACGAAAGAACCCATCGCCGTCAGTCGTACCATAATACGTAGTCAAGTGTAGGATACCGCTCAACGTGAGGGCTGGCAGGATCTGTACGCGAGAGTTCTGAAACCGATCAATCTCTGCAGTTCGAAACGCAGCAAGCCCTTTCGGCGCCCATCCAGTCCTCCGTATCCCAGTATCCTTATTGACGCCGGATTCGTCGACGAATACCAGCTGGTCGGGGCGATATCGTCGTATACGGTACAAGTACTCGTATCGTAGTTCGTCACTTCGCTGAGCAGCAATAATCTTGGACTTCTTGTTCGTCCAGCCAGCTGAGTTTAACTGTCGACTGATTGCAGAACGACTGATCTGGATCTCGAAGGCTTCAAATAGGAAATCTTGCATCTCTTCAAGAGATAGATCGCTGCGGTACTGCAGTAGTTCAAGAAGCTCTGTACGATGCCATATTTCCATCTTTTGTCGACTCTGGCGGCACCTCTTATATCTCTGCACTTCGCCAGTGATATTACGTCGTGATCTATGTCGTCGAATCGTTCGTTCGGTACAGCCAACGATACTTGCCAGCTCGTGGGTCTTTTGGTCTTCGAATGGCAGTATCATCGCGATCGTCGATAGCTGTAGATTCGATATTCTGGGCGCCATTGTATCGTCGTCGTCGCCCGGCGTCTTTCTCGATGTATCTGATATAATAAACCACGGACATGTACTGACCAGCGGCAAACTGTAAGTAACAGGGCACAATCTATACAGCAGTAGACTCTTGCTCAATATCGTGAACAAGCTGAGCTATCAGGAGAGTCATTAATCCTGTTGACTGCCAAAGCATTTGCTCTGAAGAACCGTATCAAGCCCCTTGGTATGCTTATATATTACTCAGAGCCATACAAACCGTATGCTGAGTAGATATATAAAGTCATACAGCAGGTCTCTTCTTCTGTTCCTCAGCAAATGTCATCTTGATCTCTCATGACGAAAATAGACCTTTTGTTGGTCGAATGGTATGGGGATGAGGTGACTAGCTGGGTTGGCAATGCCTCGATGGGTAGATTGACTGCTACGGAAGCATGAAATACACACCTTATGTCTCTATCGTGTAGTTATACGTTTGAATACTACTGGGACTATAGTGATTGACGGCAATTGAGGTGTTGGTGATGACTTTGACGCGTTTTGCGTGCGATGCAGAGAAATGCGCGTCACAGCGTAAAATTGGCTTTTTTTCATGTTTTTGCATAAGCGGGGAAAAAAAAGGGGGGCGGACGCTGTCAACGCAACGGAGTGTACAAATTTAAAGTTATATGCCATCCCGAAAGAGCCGAGCGGTGATCTGCGCCGGCTTCCACTGCACAGAGCCGGCCTTAAATGGGCAGAATTGTTGGTTTTATTGTTTCACATATACGGCTTAATAGCTGACCAATACCGGAAAACGTGGTAAAAAAGAATGCACCCGTGCTCCATCATCGGGCTTATAAGCTCCAACCTCCGATAATAATAGCAGCAACACCGCAAGCTTCTGCCCATCACAATTCAACCTCCACCCAACTCCCATATTCCCAGCACACACAAACGCACAATGTTCCGATCTTTTCTCAATTCCATTTTCCCAGGCTCGCAAACCCCGCCAGAGTCCACAATCGCCAATTCTGCCTCCCCCGACGAGTCAGGTCAGCGAGTGACCGGCTCGACGTGGGAAGTCCACCGAATCAGCCACCCTGCAACCGCGCCGTGGCATCTCAACCTTTCGGACACAGACACCGACAAACTTATCAACGGATATCAGCCTGCGGCGATGGAAGATCGGTGGATGTGCCGTTCGGATGGACCGGACGAACAAGGCAATATAGTGGTCCATGTGTACCGAAGTTGGACCGGCAACGAGCAGTTTCAGATGAAGGTGACTGCTTCCAGCCTCCGCGGGACCGCACTCCGCGGATCCGAAGCCAAGAATTCTGGTGAAAAGGATGCGGAGATTACAGAGATCACATGGGATACCGGCAGTGGTGATACGCAAATGTCGGAGGAGGATGCGAAGAGCTTGGCGACGACGATTTGTAAAAGGGTGCTGGGATGTGAGCTCGAGCAGAATTCTTAGGAGAGGAACAGAAGTAGATGTCATCTGATTGCCGTGGAGTTGTCAATATGAAACTTTGTCTAGTTCTCGGAAAGAATGTCACAATGCGTAGCCAGCTATCTAGTCATCGTACACCGTACATCGTACTGCAACCACACCAAAGACCGTTGGGAATTGGCGCCAAGAAATCATGCACAACCCCCAAGTCACATCCCGTCGGGTGTTACCTCTAAAATCCGCTTCCTTCAGCCTCAAATTGTGAGCGGGATACGTCGGAGAGCGAGGCTCAGACCCATCAATAATGGACCAAAGTTAGAGTTCACTCAACTGCGGGTTGCTCTAGCTTAGTCTGTTCCACCTTCGGCTCCGTCATCCGGAACTCGTATTGACAGTTGGCCCCGAAAGCGAACTCAATGACGAGGATCGTGATGATATCTTTGAGCTCGAAAGTAATCGCGATGGCTAAGTTTGGTCTATAAGTAGGTTTGACATCCGCATGACTACTTAGGCTATTACTCTCAGCATCAACTCATCTGCACTCGCTTCTGATCTATCACGTTCTTTTCAACATTCCAAACCCATAATTACCAAGGTATTCTATAGATCCAACGCACATTCCTGTAAAATACTAACTGGGCACGCAGATGCAGCTCTCTACTCTCATCCAAGTTGTCGCCCTCGGCATTTCTGCCGTCAACGCCGAGTACTGCACACAAGCTCTCGACCCCTACCCTCGCAAGGCCAGCACTGGCTTTCGGTTCGAGAGCGTAGATGCAAACAACTGGAAGTGGACGTCCAGAGACGTGCAGGTGGTCACCACCGTGAGCCCACAGAGCGGCAACTGCCAGATCCACCAGGGCGGCGGCGGCGGTGAATTCTCCGCCACTATCTGCATCGACGTACGTTCCCTCATTGCCTGTATCATGTTTGAGGTGATGCTGACTTGTTATAACAGTTCAAGGGGAACTACGCCTGCTGGGTCGCACCGTCCAAGAACCAAGTGTGTGATATGGTCTTTGAGCAAGACGAAGCCCCTGTTGATGTCTGTGGAAACATCAAGAACATTTGGGGCTGGGTGGCTTAGGTGAGTGCCGTGACTTCTGGAGAGTGACAACGCGATTGACAAAGGATCAGTTTCCAGGCTGTCTAATCTTTCCTTCTGCGCTGGTTATCATGGAATCTGGAGGCCGATGGGATGCTGGTAGAAACGGTTTGGAAAGTGTCTATTGGTGAATTAGGTTACAAATGGAGTGGTGTTAGTCTTGTTGTCTACTTCCTATATATCTTCCAATCTTTTGCAGCAGCGATCTATGATCTATTTGGTGTGTTTTCAAGAAATGTTTACACTGCCACCATTCGTAGGAGCAGAATCCCAACGCTAATTCCGGTTCTAGAACTAACATAACAGTGTTTTAACATATGGATGAATACTTTCATAAGTTTCAATCTAACAGTTTCAGAAACAAGGAGGGACAAGAGACGATAACAACAGAGACAATAGCATTCATAGAAATAATAGGAGCAACAGAAACGATAGGGACGATAGAGACGGCAGAGATAAGAAGGAAAATAGAGGTCGCAGAGACGAAGAGAACGATAGGGAAGACAGAGAAGATGATAGGGGAATTAGACAAGAACAGCAATTAGTATGAGTAACCTTGACAAGGCCAACACGAATAACATAGCTCAAATTGGACCACGCTTTATCATCACGTATTGTAACATAGAAAGACTGCGGACTGGAATATATTAGCTAACCTGAAGAACAGCAGGCAGGTGGGCTCTTTCTAAATCAATGAGATATCAGCTCCGAAATCCACAGCTTCTGAATTGGCTATACGTCTGAAGTTCCTAGAAATAAAGGACACGCGCGAGAAACACGAAGTAAAGCTCTAGATGGCATTCGATCTCGAGGTTCACAGTGCTTATTATTGAGAAAATGGCGTATCTCCAAGATTTCGGTCTCTTTCTGCCACATCTGTTCTTGACCTACTTGTTCCCTCTTCCGTGTCTTCTACCTTCGGCTCTGTGCGGTTCCGCATAAGGTACGCCCCGAAGCCCCCTTACGAACAGCATGACTCTCGCAGAGCTCATCATTCAAGTCCGATCGATAACAGCCATCGTCTATAGCTCTTCCGATCGTCCCCAGTCAGCCTGAGCTCCTCCCTCCCCTTCCCCGCCAACCCTCTTCAACTCCACCCCGAAAGCGACAGGCACAACCTTCTCAACCCTCCCATCATCCCCGTACACAAACTCGAAATGGTCAAGCGCCTTGTACCCGTACGTGATCCGGTCGACAGTGGCCCAGCTGGAGCATGACGCGTTGGCATGGAACGCCTCCCTATCAATCGCCTCCCGCTGCTCCGGCGTGAAATAGTCAAACACAGCCCTCCACGCCTCCGTCTTCTCATCCCCAGACTTCAGCCCCGTGGGGTACGCCCGCGCCGTCACGTTCGGGTTCGGCTCCATCCCCGTCTTGTTCAACCCCGTATGGCTGTACCGCCCCAAGTTCGGCACAACCTCGAACCCGCTCACAACCCAGTCCTCCACCCGCACCCCCCACCCGCCGTCAATCCTCAACGTCACCCCGGACCCTGTCTCCGCGTCCTCAAACCGGCCCGCCACGCGGCTCGCGGCCTCCTCCCGCGCCGCCTCGTCCAGCGCGCGCACGAGCCCCGGCAGCAGCGCCCACAGCTTCCACTTGTAATACGCCGGCACGACCGCCGAGATCTCGGGCCCGGCCGCGAGCACGGAGACGGTGAGGCCGTACTCGGGCAGCAGCGCGAGACCGGCGTGGTAGTTGAAGATGTCGCCGCTCTTGGCGTACACCTCGACGGGCCGCCCGCCCGCCAGGTTGGCCGAGAAGATGCCCTCCCACGGCTTGCCGACGAACTCGCCCGGCGCGGAGGTGAAAGTCGACGGCTTGAGCCAGCGGCGCGTCTTGGCCGGGGACAGCAGGCGGTGGCGGAGGATGGCGTCGCCGAAGCGGAGCACGTCGCGCGTCGTGGAGTACATTCCGCCCGCCCTGTTTCTCTGTAAGCCACACGATCATACTTCATGTTGACCCGTGTTGGGCAAGACTTACGGTGCGAAGACGCCCAGATCCCAGTCCCAGATGGTGTCGTTTTCAGGGATGAACAACGTCGACAAGTCCTCGGGGGGATGGGGGTACGTCGTGGAGGACATGCCCGCGGGGTCGAGGATGAGTTCCTTGAGGACCTGGTCGAAGGGTTTCCCGGTGGCCGCCTCCACGACGAGCCCGACGATGGCTATGCCGGTGTTGGAGTAGACGGGCGTTTGGTAGGCTGGGTAGACTGGCGGCCGGCGGTTCTTGAACACCTCGATGAAGTCTGGAGTATGATGAGCGTCTCGCGCCTCCTCCCAGCAAGATTTGAAACCCAACAACTCACCTTCCATAGCGCAAGGCCGCTGTCCAAGAAAGCCACCACAGGCCGGCTTCTTCTCCAGCGGAGGCAACCCGAGAGCCTCCCAGTCGCCCTCATACTGTCCCCGGTCCATCATCACTGCACCCCGTCAGCAAACTTCCCTTTCCAAACTCCAGGAACTAGCACTACTCACTATCAGCCCCAATCCCAGAAACATGCACCGCAACAGCCTCAACCGTAACCTCATCCCACTCAACCTCCAACCCATCCAACCCCCCCGCCGCCCCCCTCAGCGCCGGGAGGAACTTCGTAACCGGGTCGTCCCACCGCACCACATCATCCCTCTGCAGCGCAGCCAGCACCGTGAACACCTTGCTCACGCTCGCAAGCCGGTAGACCGTGTCCTTGTCCACACTCTGCGCGCCGCGGGCATCGCGGCGCGGCGGGGTGTGGTGGAAATCGAGCAGGGGCTCGTCCTCGAAGACGGATTTGACCCCGATCGACACGGCCGAGGTTGCGAAGCCCGCCGTCTCCTCCTCAAGAGAGGTGAGGAAGGTCGCGAGGGCGCGTTGGACGGCCGGGTGGGCGGACAGGTTGCGCGCGGCGGGCAGGACTGGGCCAAGGGGCGGGCAAGTGTAGGATGCTGCGGCTGCGAGGGGGATGAGGGCTGAGGGGAGGAATAGGAGGCGCATGATGACTTTGAGACTTAGAGTATTCATATGTTTCTTGTCGTTGATTTAGTTTGAATTGGTGTTGCGACGACGAAACTGAATAAGCGTTTGACACCCTCGATCAAGACGAAAAGACATACTTAAGCAGTTGCAGAGCTTCACTTCTGGTAATAAGAAATGAGTCAACCATTCGCAATGCGTGCGACTACCCCAGTCGAGATTCGGGTCATTCTTACATATCTCACCTTCCAATCCCAGCTTGGCGTCATCTGGCAAAAGATCCAAATCCGCGAATTCAAACCCTCCTGTTTTCACACAAATCACCCAACCCAGCGACCACAATCAAGGGCCAAGAAGGGAAAAGAAACGTCTCCTCTTTCCTCGGACTCACACTACTACTACATTGTTCATCAGCTCGTACCAAACACCCCCTCACTCTCGGGTCAGCAACGCGAATCGCTTGCGAGTGCTCCCCAACAAACTTGCATCTGTAGCGCAGGAACTGATCTGGCGTGGCTTATGCAGTACCAAAGTACCTTATCCCTCGTAGGTGATACGATGCTAATTTGTAAGAAACTCTATCAATTGACAGAACCCCGCCTACTGTGGTGCATCTGGCGTGCTTACGATGACGTTGGCTGACGCGACAACATCTATCACAATTGTGCCAGCACCTTCCCTCCAAAACTTTCACATGGACTCTCACAGTGGGTTGAAGAAAAGAAGAAAATTAAATGGTGCACAAACATCGTGGGCGGTCGGTCACAGACACACGCAACAAGGCATCGAATTGACGTGGGAATCGTTAAAATTCTCATCCGAGGAAAACAAAGGTGATCTCGCACCCCTATATCGCGAGAGATCCCTCTAGACAAAGAACAACATCGAAGAAAGTCTGTTCCCCACAGCCGTGGCCTCAGAAACTTCTAACTGCCTTCCTTTCCAAAGCGTCAGAAAATAAGAAGAAAAAGGAGAAGAAAATACAAACAGAAAAAGCTTTCTTGACTCTCTCTCAGCCACCCACACGCCCTCCTAAAACGCCTTGCGGTCCGCGCATCCTAATCCTTCATTGGCTCTCATGCTCACGTCCCGATATCGCGGGGCCAAATAAAAGCTAGTTGTAAAAACGTGCAGAATAAACACATGGCCCCTAGGCCCAAGAGGACTCTAGATGGATTTTGCCCCTGGCAATATCTATCCAACCCCGAAAACAGGGCCGCTGGAGCCCTCACCTTCCTCCTCGTCATTCGTCCCATCCAAATATTTCCATCCATCCCATGTCAGGCCTTACTTCTCCATATGTCCATCGTTGAGAAGCATCTCCAAGACAATCTGCACGCCATGTTGCTCAGGGTGGCTCATAGAAATCTTGACCGTGCCCTTGGAGTCTTCTCCCGCCGGCGTTTGGCCGCCGAGCCAGTTGTTCTGCTGGTTGTTTGTCGCGTTGCCGCCCGTCGGGCCTCTAACACCGAAGTCGAGGCAGCGAACATCGCGGCCAGCAATGATTTGTCTGAGACGACCGTTCTCGGCGTTGCGCACCTCCACGTAATCTCCGTTGAAGAGGAGCAGATATTGTCCGTACATTGTCGCACTCGTAGCCTTCTTCTGCTTGCCCGAGTATTCCATGATGAGAGTGCGGCTCACATCGCCGTGCTTGTCAACGTAGACCGCGCAGTCCTCATATGCCAACAGGAATTCCTGGTCGTTCAGCTTGAACATGCCGAGTGGCCTTTGGTCTCTAATTCTGCTGGCGATGTTGGCAATCGCTGGTTGCTTCAGGTCGGGGATCGACATCGTCTGTTTCTTGTCCAGAGTGAGCAACTCGAAGCCCTTCGCAGTAGACACCGCGATGTAGCTCTGGAAGAGGTTTAGAGAGTAGCACTCTGTTGGCAGGTAGAACTCGTCATAGTCGCGGAACGAATCGGTACTGCCCTTGATGCCTCTGTGCCCACCAAACAGCCGCGATCTCTTCTCCGAGGCTTTCTGGAATACTGGCTCAAGCACCTTGAAGGTGTTGTGCATACCCT